GACTCGCTCGCTCTCGCGGGTCGCCTTGCGGAAGGCGGGGGCCCGCAGGGGCGACCTGGACCCCGAGGACGAGTGGGGAGCGGCGCCGGCCCCCGAGGTGCACCCCCTCAGTGTGTCGACGCGGTGGTACGGCCTCGCCAGCGCCCGAGGTACAGACCCCCCCTCGTGCGTAGTCGCTGTCGCCGCCGCAGCCGCCGCCGCCGCCAGCGCCGCGGAGTAACCGCTCCTTTAAACCGCCCCGCCCCCGCTGTAACTCGGTTGTAACCCTGGCGCGGGCCGGCCCCCGCGTTGCAGCTTGCCTCCCGCTCGCAGCTAGAGCCAGTATGCAGTTGGAGTTGGTGGACTGTAGTTGGCATGGAGTGGATATGGCGTGGTGTGTCTCTTTTGTAGTGTTGAACTTTCCTTGGTTTTGTGGTGATGAGTAGTGTGGAAGATTTTAATAGTTATATGTTTCTTATTAACAGTAACAATACTAATTGGTACTGTGCAGTATCATCATTGTATTTGGTGAACGGTATACTTTTAACAATAATAACCACCAAAAAGATGATATTTCTTGATGGCCATCTCTTTGTTGAAGTTTTTGCCTGGCTGAAAAATAATCTAATAGATCTAATATATAACAAAACTATTTAATATCAAAATTAATATTTTAAAGAAAAATATTTTTGTTATAAGACTTCGAAATTCAACTCCCCTTATAAAAAACCTTGGATAAATTTTACTCTTCGCTTTAATGTTGAATTTCTTGAAGTCATAAGCTTCATCACAATTTTACTAGTCATTGAATCTAATTGTAGCCTATATTTATTTGAAAATATATCTGATGATTTGAGTAATCATCTGTTGTTTTCTCACATTTTGCGTAAATGAAAATTCGTTTCTAAATTCATTCATATTGTATTAAAATTGTAGGGAAAAATTGAAATAATTTATTATTCATTGCTTTGTTCATGTTACACATATCTCTAGACTATAATTATGGAAGTCAGACGTGAACTGGCAAGTAATAAAGAGAAATATCATAATATATAAAAGACAAATGGCATGAATTTTGGATATCATGAACCGTGAGACTGACTGATGAAATTAGGGTGACACAAGATCAGCAAACTCTTCATTTTGTCATATATCGCGCGGCAATTACAGTGGTAAAAGCGCCAGGAATAGACTGTGACCAGTTGGCGCAAAGGCTGCGAGAGATCCGCTGATGCTGCCATGGGAGGCGCGCCGTGTTCGAAGCACTGGAAATGTGATGTTGCCCAAATGATTAGTTATGCCAATGGTATTCGATAAACAAAACTGGTGAAACTGGCGAACTGTATTGTGGGTATATCTGGAACCACTATCAGCAACACAAACTGCTTCTGACATAAATGTAACTTCAAATTAACTTCTCCCCATACGTTACACACAGTTTTTAACTGTTTTTGACGTAAATAAATAAATGTGAACGGATAACTGCAGGAAGGAACCTTTTAACTTGAAGCTAGACAGGTAATTCAAGCGATTCTGGGCGAGGAAACGTATAGGTAAGAGGCAAGCAAGGCACATTGACCAAAGTAAAATGAAGGAAGAACTTTCTGAGAAATTTTCCTGAAGAATACGAAAAATGTTGAAACAAAACTCAATGGAAAAATATTATCAAAGCTATTAATACCTCTCTTATTATTACTCATTTGTCATTATTAAGTGGAGTTGAACCGATATTGAGAACACAAGGGAATGTGGGAGTTTTAATGATAGGCACGCATGCACCAAACGAAGTGTTCAGTTGAACGCACTACATTAATCAGAAATATGGTTGAGTGCGAATTGTTGGGTATTAGCAATCAACATTGTGAATTTCATGGAAATGATTTTTCCGTACGCGACAATTACATTAGATCTGCATTAAGCAGTGTATGAAGTAGATAAATTTACACCTTTCGAGCTATCACAATAAGAGGTTACTGACTTTACATGCAGTGCTCGTCAACAGCTGGATTCATGGTTGGAGAAATCTCTTCAAGACATACACATGAAGTGAGTCAAACGCATGTCGACATGAAAGCGTCGAACGTCTGTCTCGCACCAGGACAGATCTTCTCAAGTTACGAAGGTCACTCCAAAAGTTTTCAGAATGAACAACAAACACTGTTAGATGGAAGTTTTATTTACAAGCGTCAATTGAGTATCTCAACATGGCTATTTGTATTAAAATAGTTGACCGTCAGTCAACAAAGATGGATCTGAAGAGAAAGCATTTCAAAGCATTTTTTTCTGTTACGACTTTAAAGTTGATTTTGACGAGAAAATACACTTCGGGAGATTAATGCGCGCGTTTTCTTTGCCCCTGAGAAGTCACTGCTGAACGATGGTTTGCCGAATTCAAGAGGGGAAGGAACTGTCTCGAGAACGAAGACCGTTTTGGCAGGCCCACATCTGCAAAAACGAAGGAATTGTGTTGAAATTAGAACATATGGCCAAGAAATTGATTTATTGATCGATTTACATATGTTCTGATTCAGGAAGCCTTATGTATTGGAACAGTAACAATTAGACACATCCAGTAAGTAAAGCTTGTCAGGAGGTTCTTAAATGACAGATGAGCAAAAAAGAGCGCGAGAAGATTGGTACGGCATTTGTCAGTGTGAGTCTTCCCAAATGAAAATCCCCCTTCCAAAAAAACAGGAAATCAAGAAGTGTTGGGAAGATGGAGATTTTTTTCTTCTAGACTAATGACCATATTTCGAACGCACCACTCAAGGAACAAATGACAGTACAACATTATACACCACAATTTCCTTGCCCAAATTTGAAGAGCTGAGATAGAACTGTCAAAAATCAGGCCTGCTTGGAATCTTCCTCCACTATGACAACGCCTCATTCTACATGGTCTGAAATAATGAATTTCTGACAGGATTAAGATTGAAAACTTTGTCTCATCCACCTTATAGTCCGGTTATGACGCCGTGTGACTTTTTCATTCTAATGTGAATGAAAATCTTCAGAGTTTTCAGTCGTCTCAAGCTATAGTGACTGCATACGAATACCAAGTTCCCACCATCCCAAAAGAAGTGTGGCGATCGGCCCATGATCCAATTGGACGTTGAATATAAATGTAGTGATGAGTGCTTCAACAAGATGAGAAGATATGAACATGTTATCTCGATTCTGACATGTATTCTCAAAACTTTTGAAGTGACATTCGTATGTTGGCCATTCAAAACCAAGTTATGGCAACACGAAGCTTTTTGAAGCTTAATTGATAAAACCAATAAGATAGCCTCTATAATTGATATTGAAGTTCTTCGGATCCATAACATCAGGAAAACTGAATTAGAGAAGATCAGGAAGTATGAGGAGCTTGCAATGTAATTAAAACAGATCTGGCGGTTGGTAGAAATCCATAGTATAAGACTTGGTGAATTCATCAGAAGGAGTGCTGTCAACAAATTTTAAAAATAAGTTGAGAAATTGGGAACTGACAAAGAAAATTGCAAACTGTTGGACAAAAGGCAGTTATACTTCAGACGTGCCTCTTTGTTCGAAAGTTGTTACAGTAAGTTCAATTGGGATAGGGAGAGATCCCTTGTTATAAGAGCTGAATCTGATTCTTAGACACCAAAGACAGATTCTCTATACCCAGTTTCTATTGAGCAAGAAAACCGATGATGATTTAGCATTTTGGGTTGATTGTCCGACATAGCTAGCTAACATTGTCCCCCATGTCTGTGCCTAGTTTAATTCCCACACTTGGAGGTAAGAGAGACATGTGGCAAACAAACACCATCTCATGAACGCAACATGCAAATTCTGCCCGACTGAGCTACAGAAATTGAGGCGATTTTGAAGAAATGCTACAACTCTATTTTTGCTTTGACCGAGAACCAGTTACCAAGACCACTACGCTGCCCATGAGTCATCATAGAAGCTGATGATGATAATGATGATGATAATAGTAGTAATAACAATCATAATAACAAAAATAATGTTAATGGTAATAAATTTATAGTATTTCTTTCATAGCCCATTTATTTCCTACAAAACATATAAATTACTACCTACTATCTATAAAATCAGGAAAATATCGGAATGATAAGAAAAGAAAAAAGGAAAAATATTTTCTGAAAGTATTTTATGGCTATAATTATTAAGTATCATCAAAAGTAAATGTATGATTTTTATGTCTCAGTGAATCGGTCATTTTAAGTATAATTTTCATTGGTAGGCCTACATTTTATTACGATTGAATTAAAGTATTTTTCTGGAAAATTAGTGAGACCATGTTTTCAAAGATTTGCTTTTCTAATTTAAAATATTATTATTACGTTCTTTAAGAATTAGTTAAATGAAATAATAAAAAATTAGTACTTCAAATTAGTTCAGCAATAATTGTTTTTTCTTGATACATTAGCGCTACAAAACAAATTTCCCTTTTTTTTCCATTTTAAAAAGTTAGTTTAAAGGTTATTTACTTGTTAAACTCTCTTTTCACAGTTATGGCTGGTTGTCCAGAATAACTTCAGCAAGCTGAAATTGTGAATCTTTTATTTCCTTTTATTGGAAGAACCATAGTTTCAATGAACATGGTTTTCAGTAGCTGTGACTTACAATACTGTGGTACCAATGTTCTCAACTTCCTCCTTTACTACAGGTTATATACCTCATCGCACACATCCCTGTGAACAGAGTTCTTGTTACCCTGCCACTGGAAACTTGCTTATCGGGCGTGAAGCTCGACTATGGGCTTCATCAACATGTGGTCTAGAAAAGGAGGTAAAAAGAACTTGAAGATTTATTATGTTAAAGAATATATAGTATATACCTCATCATTAAGTTGATATCAAAATCACATCCGTGCACTAAGAAGTTTAAGAAAATGAATCTGCATGTACCCTCTAATAAACAGGATACAACATAAATGCCATTTACACAAGGATGCTGGACAGTGTTATTTACTTTTGCATAACTATTTTATTATTCATTTGTCTTTCCATGTATGAGAATCCAAATTCTTTATGTATACAAGTGTTGAGGAAACTTGAGGGAGGTTTGAGTCACATTTTAGTTAATAATTTTTTCACCATTCCTTTTGATGATAAGCAATTTTTGGGGGCTGTAAAGACAGGTCTTATAATAGTATAAATATATAAACATTTTTCCAGTTTGTATAATTTGTCATACACTGTAAATATGCAGTTATGGGTCCAACCTCCTAATGTATTGGTCTTTTGACATACACACCCTCCCATGAAATAATTACAGCAAATGATAAGTTAATTAAAGAATGAATAAGTATAAATTAATTCATTAAAGAGAATCAAACATAAAAGCATTTATTATAAAAAACTTATCATATGAGATCCATATTAATAATAACAACAATGATGTAATGTCAACTGTAAGTTCTTTGTTCATTGTTCAAAAATAGTTAATTATTCAATGAAATAATATTAATAATGAACAGAAAGAATAAATAGTAAAAATATTGTACATATTTAAGAAAAAATAGAATTAAAATTGAAAGAAACAACTATGCAATAATAGTTCCATACTAATCACTGAAACATTAAACTTTGATTACGGGAAGCACAGTCTCCCTTTTATCTCTCCTAATGCACATTTAAATGTGAAAAATTGAAATCAAATTTTTGTGTCAATGTTAATCTTGCGGTTCCAATGTGCCTGGTAGGTTTTGGTAGTTCTTTAGTTCTTCCATTGCGTTTTGGTTCCTAGAAAAGTAGCATATATTCAAATGAAACCCTATTATGAACTCTACATTTGTGTATATGCAAAATTTCATCATAATTGTATTGCTAATAGCATGGCCATGCAATAGGTCAAACTTCCTTGAACTTAGTGGGTCAAACTTCTCTACCAAGCTTCATTGTATTATGTTTTGAAAAATTAATTTATGGTTATATTGTAATGCTTTGTTATTACTATATACTTTTCTAGTATCTTGCCATTAATATTGTATCATTTCATTATTTAATTTCATTCACAAACTTGTTACCGTTATCATTCCAGAAAAAACAAATAAACACAATTTTATTGCATTAAACATTAAAATGCTTTTAATTTCTCTTTCATGGCTCCAGCAAGTGCCCAAAATCACTGATGTAGGACCCGTTGTAGTTTCTTAATCTAATACCATGGGGCAGCACGTACTAATTAATAGAAGATGATTTAACAAGGGGTGTCAAGTTTCCTCTATAGTTTTACCTCCCAAGTTTCCCCTAAACTCACTGAGAAAGGGTTCACACTATTTATTGCAATAAAATTGTTATGTTCGTTTTGTCAACTGAATGAGTGTAAGACCTATTTGCTGTTGTTATTTTTACTTAATTGAGCAAACGCGAAGGTCACTTGGTTTCGCTTCTGTACAGTTAATATAACTTTTTTCCCTACTAAATTGTACTAAAAGTTTTTCTGTTTTTGATACTAAATTAATAATATAATTAAATAAATGCTCTGAATTTTTCATATTTACAGGAGCGATATTGTATAGTTTCACATTTGGAAGATCGAAAAAAGTGCTTCAGGTGTGACTCCAGAGATCAATACGTTAATAATCCAGCGAGAAGTCACCGGATAGAAAACATTGTTTACAAAAATTTTCCTGGGTATGATTATAATTGATTTTGTGAAATGTTCTTGTTATTGTACATGATTTTAGAATGCTCAGTAACGTTTCTGTGTTTTAACTTGAATGTTTAGCACTGACCAGCGTTCATGGTGGCAATCTGAGAACGGAGTTGAAAATGTTACAATTCAGTTGGATTTGGAAGCAGAATTTCATTTTACGCATATGATCATTACATTTAAAACATTCAGGCCTGCGGCCATGCTGATAGAACGGTCTTATGATTTTGGAAGATCATGGCAAGTAAGTAATTAAAACTTAGGTGAAGTATTTTTCAACTTTTTGGTAACTTATTTCCTTTGTTTAAAATTTCATTAATTGAAAGACCAGAAGACCTGTTGAGTGATAATTACAATTTTGAAGTGAATATTTCAAGCATAGATTAATTTTGCAAAAATTTGAGTTGTATTTTATATTATTCTGTAGAAAAATGAGCCTTTCAATTTTATTTATAAAATATTACCAAAATTGAATTATTATTTAGTGACTGATGGTATATTTTTAGGTTTATAGGTATTTTGCTCATAACTGTGATGCAGCTTTTCCCGAAGTTCCAAAGACAAAGCCAACAACATTGACAGATGTTGTGTGTGAATCAAGATACTCAAATGTTGCACCCTCAACTGGAGGAGAGGTGAGAGAAAAACACATTTTTGTGTGACTAGCTGATCCTGTGAAGCATTAGCAGGGAAAAGTGAGTTTGACACCATCTTTGTGTCATTCCTGTACATTTTTTCACTGTCTCCTTTTCCCTTAACTTTTAAAAACTTTTTTTTTTTAATAAATTTATTTTATTTTTTCTAATGGTTTCTTTTTTGGTTTAATTTACCTTCGACTGAAATGGTTGAAATTATTTTTTTACTATTCCTTCACAAGATTACTGTAACAATTAATGTAAATCATACCATTCCTGGAATATATTTCATGTTCCATGTTTTCTTTATTGTTAAAAGATATTGCAACTTTTCTGCTCAAGATAAATTTTTGCCATTGAACATGACAATTATTTCAGTGAATGTTAATGAGCTAGTGAACTTATCCCCTAATTTGTTATGCTATTATTTTTATTTTGCAGTTTACTTTTGTTCTATAATATGGATAGTTTCATATTGTAAATTATTCTCAAAATTCTGCTGATGACACCCAATTATTGGAGGTTGCTTTGTCTAAACGGAAATATAAGAACATTAATTGAAAATATTAAATTGATTTTATAATATATATTGATGTATTTATGTTACAGATAATATTTCGAGTTTTGTTACCAAACTTACATATAGATGATCCATACTCTCCTGAAGTACAGAATTTGTTGAAAATGACTAATCTACGAATTAACTTCACAAAATTACATACACTTGGGGATGACCTCCTGGACAACCGACAAGAGATACATGTAAGTATAGTTTAGAAGTGCAGAGAATAAGATGAGTGTGTAGAGCTGTGAGAGATCCACGTGGACAATGACGGCCATGCCTTTCCAAGTGGACAATTACCGCATTGATGCCAAGGAGTATTCCCATTATGAAATTATGCTTTCAAAAATTACAGGCCACATTTTTTATTGTTTCGAAAATACCTGTTCATAATCATGTAAAAATTATCCATATAAAATATTACATTATCTTAAATGTTAGAATTACTACGGAATAATTGCATAAAAATGTGTGAAAAAAAGAGTTGTGCAACGAAGACTAATTCGAAGGTGATTCCTTCCAACACTTGGCGGAACTGCCCCGTAAGGCGCCGTGTCTTTGAAGCGTGGGCAACGCCGTTGCGAAGGCAGGTTCCTGGGGTCAGCGTATCGACTCCGCGGCCGTCCAGTTTCGTTCGAGGGATTCTTTTGCACGCATCTTCTGGATCGTTCCCAAACGTGCTCGTCACATCCCGGAAAATAATTGATTTTTGACATGTAGAGTTGAAATACTAGGGGACTGAATGAGTTGGCCCTCTGAGTCCACCTAAAATTTGCTACTTTTTGACAGAAAAACTATTATTGTCGAGCCCTAGTCACGAAAAATGGAATAAATTTTATTCACATATGTTGTACATTACTTCCTCTAGCACGTTGCGTGGACAGAATTGGTGTTTTATGGGTTCTTGATACCAGGGGCGGTTCCAACCGATTATTTGGGGGTGGGAGATCAGAGATTTTTGTTAAATAATAGACATATTAGTTATATTGTATTTTTGTAGTGTATAGAAGATACTATACAAAATTAATTTTTTAAATAATTACTCAATTCCAAGATACATATTTAAATCAATTTTGCCAAATAAAGGGAGATAAAAAACGAAAACTCTAGGCATTTTTTGGGGGGTGGGGCGGGCTATGCTCCCCTGGAGCCATCACTGCGTGATACAGAAAATTCTATTGATGAGAAACGCCTTCTATCTGTCCGCCCGCCCGCCCGCGCGGTCAACGCTAGCGTCGAAGCCGTTCACGGGATTTTCTCCACTATCAACGTTTTCAAAAGGATTTAAAGAAACTCAATGCTTTGCGAGTTTGAAACGGATATTTTAATTTTTGGGGGTACTTTATATAAAACCTCTACAATATTTTCAACATTTTCTCAAAAGAAGCTCCAAATATTTTGATTAAACTTTGTCCTGGGATAGCATAAAGACGCTATCCGAGAATGGCGTAGGTCTTGTTAGGTCTAGTTGAAATGTGAAAATTTTCTAAAATTTCAAAAGTTTAAATTTATTACCGCGGCTTTCCCTCTCGGATAGGATTATTTGTAGCTTCTACAACCTCCATGTGCAGCTGTTTCAAGTGTCAAAGGTTGGGGCATACACAGCAACGATGTATGTCGGTGCGGGAAGTGCCGTACATCAGAGCACGGTCTTCATCCCTGCGCTACAACACCGCACTGTCAATTGTGCATTCGACCATCTAGCCAACTACAACCAGTACCCTACCTCAGTTCGGAAAAGAGATTCAGATAATTCGAGTTACCGAAAAGGTTTCCTTCCGAAGCCAAACGCCGACACTAGGCTAGAAATCCAGTAGGCCTGTCACGGTCCTCCTCCAGTGCCCTAAAGACTAAGTCCTCAGGGGTAACAGCAAGTTGTCAAACACAACGTACTTCTGCTCTAATAGCGCACTTCACTTGTCAATGTCCGCCTAGACTTCCCTGAAGATACGACGTGCATTCAAGGTGGTAAAGTGATAATACCTACGAAGTATAAGAAACCTAGCAACACTCCACCAGCCACCGATGACTTCTACTGAGCCCCTACTGGAAATCGATTCCAGCCAGAGATCGTCGCCAAACAAAAATTCGTTATCGAAGTTCCGCCCACCTCACTATTTCCGACGCTCACATCCAGCGATCCTCCAGCCCCTGTACATCTCAGTCACGTGTGGCAAAACCCGGGAAATCCACCCTGCATAGACTCTGCTCTAGACGAGGAGCACCAAGAGAGTTCCTCTATAACCTTTCAGAAGGAGAGAAAGGAAAAAAATATACCAAAGAAATACTTCCATTCAATGGCTGACTCATGGAATTCAAACGGATTTCGTGCACATTCAGAAGAATTGATATTGATAATTTTTCGCCATAGACCATCCGTAGCGTCTCTCCAGTAAATTCATCTTCTTCCCCATCATCCCGTTTGTCTTCGCGGTTTTAGCATCAATCGGATTGATCAAGTTGACGGACTTAGTGCTCACGGTGGTGTCGCGGTACTTATCCGTGACTCCCTGTTCTCTGAGGGACAGAACGTTCGAACAAACTTTCAAACCGTATGCTTTCGGACACATCTACCGTCCTTTTCGCTAACGGTGTGCAATATAAACATTTCTCTTGGTCAAGTCTTGTGTGACGAACCATATTACAAAATTAAAGTAAAAACTTTAAAAGGTATACATTTTCACTACATGGCCCGAGCCCAAGCAACCGAGCGGGAAAGTCGCCACGTTGGGAAAGAAATAGCTCTTCGGAAAACATACTCACAATTTGGACATCACCTTGAGTGCTTCCAAACATCAGAATCGTGTATATACGAGACGCACGAAGCGACAGTATTCAGTTCTGAGCCGACATCGCCCGTACCAGGTTCGCCACAAGCCCTCACGCCGCCGACCGTCTTTCCAGCCATGAGCCAAGAAGGAGCCGCGACACCTCTGCAGGGAGAGATCGGTGCCGTGGTAAGCAGCTGACGCCATCAGGAGTGCCTCTCGACTTCCCTTCTTCCTCTAGCTTCCCTCTCTCTCCTTCATTTTCTCTTTAAATTATGTAAAAGTGGTGATGGTTAGGGTATGAACATTAAATCTACATTGCAACGAGCTTACTTGCAATCATTTTGCCCTCACTCTTCCTCCCAACCATTCAGTTCCTTAACGTTAAAGATCTGCTGCATGAATTCGCATGAACCAGGCATTCGCACAGGAGGGACGGCACACGTGCCCCAAGATGAAGATGTTTTTTCTCAGGTGCCCGTCCCTTTCCTTATTGTGGGGCACGTGAATGCACACAATTCCGTCTTGGGTGGCACAAGGCCCTGCCGGAGAGGTAATATACTTCAAAATATTGACAGAAAGAACATAATTCTTCAGAATACTGTTGACACATTTTGCCGTGTCTTCAAACACTCGTCCGTTGATCTGCTTCTGCAGTCCATCTCCACCATCTTTGAGTGGACTGTTCTTGGCGACCTGCATGGCACCTGCGTTTCTCACTCCGGTCAATTTCGACATTCCCGACCTACACGTTGCCCATCCTCCTGCCTGGCTAAACCACTGAGCTGAGTGGGATAAGTCCGAGAAAGCAATACGGATATTGGAAAACTGCTCAAGCGATATCGATTCTGTGGTTGCCCATTGGACCGGCGCCGTTGTGCGGATCTGCCGTTATGAGGCCTCAAGTGCCATTATGTGGCCGTTATGTGGCCCGAAGTCGTTGGGCCACCCACGATATCCTCCCGTGCCGTGGTGGAATGCCGACTGTGCCACCGCGATGCGTGATGAGAAGCTGTCACTGGCAAAGCTTAGTAGTAGGTTCCCAACCATGGATAATCTGATAAATTATAAGAGAGTCAGAGCGAGATCTCGATTGTCCGAACGGGAATGTAAGGCCGCGTCCTGGAGAGCCTATGTTTCGTCACTGTCTACCGAACGCCCCCTAACAAGTATGGCGAAAGGTCCGACAGATCGGAAGAAGGCCTGATCTGGCTCCTGGAATCTATTTACACCATTTCAATGTGATTTCAGGAAGCACAGGTCAACCATGGACCTCTTAGTCTCCTTTGTCACACAGATCTCCCCTTTTTTCGCGCTACAACACCACCTGGTAATATTTTTCGACATAGAAAAAGCGTATGACACCGCCTGGCACACTTGGGGCCTTAGGGGTCGGCTCCCTTTGGTTCTGGTAGATTTTCTTTCGTCAAGATCGTTTCGCGTCCGCCTTGGTGACGCATTATCCTCAAGTCTACAGTTAGAAAACGGTGTTCCCGAGAGATCAATTCTGAGTGTCACTCTGTTTGTCATTGCTATCAATAGTATCGAATCAATGATTCGAGAGCCTGAGAAAGTATCGCTCTTCGTTGGCGACTTTGCCACATTTTGCTCGTCGAATAGCATGCAAGTTATTGAGAGGCAGTTACAGCTTGTCCTCAACAAAATGCAAGAATAGAACGATGAAACTGGATTCAAGTTCTCCACCTCAATCCAGTTGCATGCACTTCTACAGAATGCATCCCTTCCATAATCATCCTGACCTTTTTCTTGGGGGACATTAATTTCCCTTCGTCGAATCCGCAACTTTCGTTGGCTAAACGTTTAGCTTGGCACTGTTAAAGTGCGTACTGCTTCTAAAATAATTTGTCAGTGGCGCCAATGACCTTAGCTGTTAATGCGCCCTTAAACCTTAATAATAGTCCTCATCTTTCGGCGTCTTCATACAACTACAGTATGAAGGAACTTGAACTGAAATCTGGTGTCAATTAATCATTCATATGTTGTTCAAGGTTATACATAATTTATCGAAATTGTGAGAAATCGCGTAATTTTGCGTGCAATGTAGGCAGTTTAAAACAATTATTTTTTCAAAGACGACTTTAATTTTTTTCCTCAATTTTCTCCTCGTATTTATCAAAGGATGGTAAAAAAAAGGTGCTGTTCCCATTTTCGGCGATCTCTGTATTTTAACTTTCTTGCGCTTAAGAAGGAACGTCTTAAGAAGAGAAAGTTATGTAATTCTACGCGAAAAACGGCGAATTTTCTGCAAAAAACGCTTATTAAAGAGTCCTAGTGACGAAAAAGTGGATAAATTCAGTTGCTAAATTTAGAAAAAAGTCCTCTAACACGTGTTGGAGCCAGAAACCATGTTTTGTGGGTCCTTGATACAGAAAAGTCGACTGACAGCAAAACGTCTGTCCGTCCGTCTGTGA